GAAGCCTTTAATTTTTGTTTTATTACTTTTTATCATAGCTTACATGTACGTACAGTTACAGTAAGCGAAATTAGCTCAGTTATTAGCTCTCCTAAATTTAAAAATCTTAAAATTGATTGTGGAATCAGAGTCTTTTTACACAGTTCAATTAATATTATTGCAAAAGTGAGATTTTACAAATTGGCAACATTAATAAACTCGAATGAAATTACACACGTAAATTTTGTAAATTAATAACTGTCAGTTGATACTTTTTGTCCGATATAAAATTATAAACAATCTGCAACTTGTCGATTCAATGATATTGTTATTTGGTAAATTATTTTACACTAGATGAGAGAGCGCTGGTATGTATACATGTAATAAACAAATGTGTCAGATATGTGTATCTTGCTTCCACTTAATGAAGGAAAGAGATACTCGGGTCCTCCTAGAAACCTCTCTCAATGGCTAGCTTGATACGTGAAAACTATATTTTATCATTATTCTTCCCTCATTACGTTTCTCTATATTTGTATTGTATATCTTTTTTGTTTTAACACATTTGCCTTGTTCTTCCAATTTCTATAATGTTTCCGTGGCACGCGATCTATTTCCCTCTATTTTTATCGTCTTCATTCGCTTTTTTCTCGCTTCGCATCCTGTTTCTAGTCCACGAACCTTGTCTCAATTCACGCATGCGCGAAACACGGAACCACGGTTGCAAATAGGCCCGCGTCTGCGTTCTTCTAACGTTGTCTGCCTTTCCGTTTCGTTCCTTATTCTTTCTCCCCATTCGTTTGAAACTGTTCGTTAAAGTTAGCGTGATCCAAAAGAAATTATCCGTTCGTACCACCCTTCCATAGCAAAGATACGACATGTCCGACGTCAGCCGGCAAATGACGACATAACCCCGTCCTCGTATCATTATTGTCGAGGGAAACATAACCACATGGGGATAAATTGCGTATCCCCTAAATAAAATGATGTTTATCTCGATCCAAAAATATAAAAAAAATTGATATTCATATAAATAAGAAATATAAATAAGAAATATAAAAATTGATATTCATATAAATAAGAAAATTAATACATATAAATAAGAATTAACCTTACTTTGATATGAAGTTATTACCTTACATAACCTTTGATTTTATTGTAATTTCTTTATTGTTAATGTAGGATTTAAAATGATAAAACGAATTGCTGCATAAAAAACCGAATTTAGTATAACTGTAAATAGAAATCACATTTATTTCCAAGTGAAAATTACTACCTTGTGCAATCCATAATATTACAGTATATTTTTATTAAGGGAGAATAACCTAGAATTTAATAGTAAATTTAGAATGAATCTTTCTATATATAATATTGTAAATCCTCAAAACCAGATGATGTTCATTAAATAATTAATAATACTAACGATCACAATTGAAAAGAATATCGATCTACCGATAGAAATCATTAATGTGAGAGAAAATGCGACATACGGTTCTCACGGTTTTTCGTGCCATATGTTACTTCTACATATAACAGTTATCTACACGCAATTACGTTTATGTAAATTCAAACTTACAATTAGATTCGTAAGTTACGAATATATAACGTTATTACGACCATACAACGCCACTTATTACAATCACACTGTATTATAAAAACACCTGTTTCAAAAAACAAATTATGATCGATATTTGTCAGTATTCATACGTATATATATGTCGTATATATGTGCGTTCTTGTATTGTTGAATTGCAAGTATTTAGAACGAATCCATTGGAGTTATATTGAACATTTACTTCCAAAGCGGTCTACCATATTATTGATGTATTCTCCTTATAGTGTTCTCCTATCGAAAATTTTGCACTTCAATAGTTAAACACTTAGCTTCTGTTATTTATCATATTAAGATATTCCTGAAATAAAAATTATAGGTATGGAAAAATAATAATAATATAAATATAGACATTATATAAGTATGTTATGAAATAATATATATATATAT